TCCCTAGTATTTTGCCCAGTTTCCTGGTCTCCCCGAGAAAGAACATTATGCCTGTGCATTCAGCTTTATCAGTATCTTTATACAACGAAACTAATCTCCATAATTGGAGAGGCGCCATCATGCAAGAATACTCTTACAAAAATTTCCATTTGTGGTGAACTTTTGTAATTGTGTATGACTCGCATAAAAGTTCCAAGATAAAGTTCCTATCATAAAGTTGATAAGGCGCCGTTATGCAGGCATCTAATACTTGAACTGTAACTTTCTGCCAATTAAAGCCACGATAGCCAAACAGGATTTTTCAGTTGGATTCAGTAATCGCTGCAATAATTCAGTAATCGTAAGGATTTAAAAGCACTTTTAAAACCAATTAATAGGAATTGATTAAAATCTGAATATAACATCTTATTGTGCTCTATGATTACATTATTGTGTCCTTTTTCCATTTCTGTGTCAGTGGGAAAAACCTGTAATATTTGAGTTACAAGTAACTTGTTTCTAATATTCTCAACGCTACTGTAGTCTATTCTTGTGCTTTCTGATTTATTAATTCTTTGTATCTTAAAAATAATTCAAGTTAATTCTGGAGTTTTTTTTTTCTTTTCTTTATTGTTACAGAATAATTTTAACAGTGTTCCATCTTCAAGGACAGAAACGCCTCCTAGCGATGGATCGCCACAAACACCTCCAGCAGTAAATGCACCTACATCATCACCTTCGAGACGTAATAGCGAGCGAAGAAAGCGTGGTTTTGTAAGAAAGAATACACAGTCTGCTCCAGATTCTTTCGATAATGACGATGCATACCCAGCGTCCGGAGCACCTACTATCATCCAACCATCGGATGGCAATGAGCCCTCTGACCGCGCATCTCGAGCTGCAGGGGTGTCCATTGGATACTTTAACTTCGACAGTATGCAAAGGCTGCTGGATCTGTCCATTACTGCGAAGGCTGAGAAACCAGCTTTCTTGCTGACCCCAGGAGGTAATGCTTCATTTTAGAACTTCAGGTGCTATGTGTTATGTTACAGTTTATATCCCATTCAGTTGTTAATTATCTTACATGCTCCTCAATCTACAGACAAACGCAGTAAATACAATCTTATCTGCTAGCTGTTCAGTTTGATTAAAAAGGCTTGTGCACTCGTATAATGGTCAAAATTCTGTAATCACTGCGCGCGGCTAGTAATATATAGAAAAGCATACTAGGTGTTGGATAAATGACCTTCATCGGTATAATGGTGCTACTGGATGCTGTATCATTCATTAGGGTAGGTATAAGTGCATGGGCCACCTATTATTTAACCTGAGTAAGTAGTTAACGCCCCTTACCCTAGCTGTTCAGATTTATAGCACCTTCCTAGAACACACGGTGCCGTTTTGGTGCCGAGGTGCTACTGTTGTACTTTATCTATGGTATTATTAAACAATTATGATAAACCAATTACATTCATTAGCTACGTAGCTATTAAATTATTCAGATTACAGCATTTCAAAGTTTAGATTCAATATTTGTTGCCTACAGTTGCGTGCAAGTCATTGAATATTTTAGGATTTTTTAACTTAGATTATACTATATGTAGCAATTCATACAATTTGTTCGCATGTACATGATATGCATCCAATGGCTACAGTGGAATTACACTAATATTTCATTTATATTATTTGCGCGCCATGTTTATCATATGATTACACTACTACTTAGATACTGACATTTTTGTGGAGCAGGTAATTTGCGTTGATAACTGAACGTTCGACAGGCCCTCAACATGCAGTTCATGCATTTTCTTTACTGACGCAGAGTTTACACGCAATGATTATAACAGGATTACATTGATGCTTGAAGTATACATTATATGCACACAACTGTTACAACAGTGTTACATTACAGCTTAATTATGAAGATGTATTTGGCTCATTTATGTGGTTATACATGCAGATGTTTATAAGGATATTACAGTAGGATCACACTGATTTTGGAATTATACATTTTATAGATACAGTGCCTGAATCATGGCACAACTAATGCTTAAATAACATGTCAAACTAATGCATAAGTGTTCCAATTACATACCCGGGTACGTGGGGCATTTACACCGCTTTTTGAATTATACGTTATTATAATTACATACACATAACGGATACAGCATTATATTGAAGCATAAGTAATGCATTGGCTACTTTGGATGGTGGGCCATTTAATTGTATACGGTATGATTGCATGTTCATCACAACTGGCCATACATTGACATGAGATACAATCTACACATTTAGTTCCTTTGAGATACATATTTATGTGCAGGTCTTATTGGGATTGTAGCTATGCTTATGTTGAGCTTATCAACCAATTACGCATTTTAACCGATAAAAGTTGTTAATGAGTGTTTAATAGTTTGTTCAGATATGTTGTATTATACACTTTTTTCTGTTGAGGTACTTTAGACCATTTGTGATTTACACATATTGTTTCCTTGATTTGATGGTGTACTTAGTTGCTTCATACCATTTAGACGGGGACTGAGCATGATTTGAAGTACTCTGATTTAAAGTGCTTGATTGTGTCTTTCGTTTAGTTCGTGTTAAATGCTAAGGAAGGTATGGGTGTTGGTATGTGCAAAATGTTTATGCAGCATTAGAGCACTCTCAAAATGGACGTTAAGACAAAAGTCCTCTCGAGTAGTTTGGTGATAAGAGTAGAGGATTGAAAGTCCCTAGGTCCCGGCTTCAGTCCTTTTACCCATTAATGTTGGGACTTAAATGGGCAAAGTTATATTGTCACCTATATGGTATTCAAAGGCCATGCTAAAGACAAAATTAATCTTACGTTCCTTGTCGTGCTAAAATGGTGGAATTGTTCTAATTAGGTCAGACGAGTGAGTTAAGCCACAATAACACAACAGACAACTGGCCAGTCTATGTTCTGATATTTTGGTCTTTCATAGTATGCAATTTCGCGAAACAGCGAAAACTTAATTTGGAGGATCAACAATTAGAGACCGACATCTGCAAAGTTTATATCAAGTATTCGTGTACTTCTTATATTAAATGTTCTAAGTGTACAATAAAAGGGCATTTTCTTGTCTGTCTTTTATTACATAAGAAGACGACTATCATATTTAGTAAGTGTATAGTGTGAGTAAGTGTGATAAGTGTAAGTGTCATATTTAGTGATAGTAAGGGAATCTTTCCACAAAATCTTAGCCAGAGAAAAGAGGCAAACATTTTTTTTATTGCTAAGTAGAAATTAGTGCGAATTGCTATTATTACTCGCGAAGCTGTGCAAATCATCAGCTGTTGCTCGTTTGATCTCGTATTTGGAAAATGTGTAAAGCATTCAACGGATACCTGATATACCTTATCAATTTGATCAATGTCCAGTATTAAAATTCAGGAAACCAAGTCTAATAAACATAGCAAATTCTTAACATGTGAATTCCGAAATTTTGGTCAAATTACTACAGGGTATTAAATAGCAACGAGAAAGTCTATGAATTTACCAGCTCAAAAATATTTGCATGGATTTGCAGCGAGTAAGTTATTTTGTATTACAACTGTTTTTGAATTTTCGAAACGTTGGGATTTAAACCAGTTTTTGAAAAATATGATTATTAACATTTTATTTATAATTTTATTTCCGAATTTATAAAGGAATATACATCTAATGTAATAGGAGGAAGAAGAAATATTAAAAGCAGGTATGATCATATTTACTCTGTCTTTACCGAGAACAGAACTCATATTCCCTTTAAATTCGAGCACTGGAATACTACATGAATACAAGTCAATATCCGGTAAAAAAAAAGTGCTCCATGAATTCTTCGCTGCTTTAGACAAGTAACCCTAATATGTTTTGTCAATATTCAATTTCCAATACACAAACAGCCTTCTGAATAGGAATCCCATTCGAAGCAAAATGTTGACCAGTGTAACCTTGGCTAAAAAACATGCATTCACAAAAACAACTAAATAAAACTTGCTCTTCTTTCAGACTAAATGCGTTTTGGTTCGTACTGTAGATATCGAGAAGATTTAATTTAATATACCATTGATTTTCGCAAGATATTTACATAGGTAAAAAATTTTAGTGAAAACATATATCAATATATTTTCGTAACAAATCTACAACCGCTTTGTTACCACCATTTCTTTTATTTATTTCTATATTAAGCCTAATATGTTTTTAATTGCGAATTTTCCATTCCAAAATTTGCTAAGGATTTAGCACAAATCTCTGTTTCGGCAGCAGAAATATTCCTTATGACCTTATAATAATTATTCACATATATCCATCCTATTTACTAATGAATGATGTTTAAACTATATCTGGAGTATTTTGTGTAATAGTTAAGCTGCTGGTTAAAATGAGGTGACAAATCAGCTGAAAATTAGCAATCTGTAGCGCATCTGGAAACGACGATTTATGCTCGGAAATTTGGATGGAGGTGGTGATGCTTGATTTGGATGGTGGTGATCATTTGAAATCTAATTCATGGGTAAGAGTGGCGTTTAATTGCATCTCGTATGCAGAAGCAAACGACTCTACATTAATCGACAAAATAAAGTTATATATTCTATACTTCCTTTAAGGACATCAGACTGCTTCTAATTTCATTTTATCTTAACTGTTTTTAATTATGAGCGAGCTCATAATTTGGAATTTATATTAAGAAAGGAACCCTTATACTAATATATATATAATAAAAATTTAGAAAAGATTAACTTTATAATTTCCTCTGAGTTCTGTGTGTACATATATATAGCTTCTCAGTTGTGGGGATGCATGTATATATTGCAATCATTAAATAAATTTCAGTACTTCCGTAGTAAGACAAATATAATAACACATAGTCGTCAAATGTAACATGTAAATATTAACAATTAAAATATTTCAAACTGAATTTGTTATGCTGTGGAATAATCATGAACAAAAATTAATAAATACAATATTTAATCTTTCTTCCAAATGAACAATATGATATTCAAGTACAGACGCAAGCAGTTTGGCCCATATTCGATTAAATCACACAATTTAAAATACCCTTAACAGTGCTGTCGTAGACATTTTTCTACGACTTAATACTTAGTTATATCTCATCAATATTCGTTTTTTATAAAGGTCCCCAAGTGCCACATTAAATTCAGAATAAACATACAAATAAAGACCCTATCTTAATCTCGGAACTAAACTCCTTAATAAATATTTACATATTAAAATTTATGTTTACGTAATCATTACTATATGCAAAGAGGATGTGAAGAGTACTTATATGAGCAGACTTCCTTAAAAGGCAAAAATAAAAACGTACGCGATGCTAAGAGATAACCTGAGAGACAGACTGCAATAAATTAATGTAACCTGTCCTTAACTTTGTCACTTAATAGTCCTTAACACTCACAGTCCTTGTTCGTTATTGCTTGTAGAGAGGAACCGTTCTCTCCATTATGCTAAATATCAGTTCGTAAAAATCTCTTTATTACACTTCAAAGTTCAAAGACAGGAACACTCACCCGGATCATTGAATTTCATAACAGTTGGATGCCGATATTCTAAGTCGCTAGCTAGACAGTCTTTTTGTAATACACGTCGTACAACAGAAACACAACCCTCGGATCATTGCACATCATCATCAGTCAGAGCCAGAAGCCGATATTCTAAGTCGCTGCATCAGGAAGTTGAATCGTCACGCACTTTTTATTTCCTTTATTCATTAAGGAACAGTCATAAAAGGGAGAGAATATGTATTATTTTTTTAAACGATGAACTTAGCGCAGTTTATTATTATTTCTTTGTTCACTAGAGAGGACTTTTCTGCTTCGAGGTTTACATTGTATTGTATGTTTAACCCAAAGCTGGCTAATGTTTCTGAATTTTTCTAATCTTTCCTATGACAGTGTAGTTTATCTATATGGTTAATTACCTTTTCTAGAAATACGAAGTTTGAAAATGAAACTAAGATGCTTTTAAAGAACATAATTCGACAGATC